CCCCACAAAATGAGTTGTGTTCGCCTTTGAATCATTATGGCTCGCGGGATCAAGATGTCAATACCACTGCTCGACATAATCACCTCACTTTCTAGGTGATGATACCTTTGATGTACAGATGCTTTAATGACTGCGGTGGTAGCTGAATGCATTTCAAAGCGCTAGTCCTCTGCATAGGGGAAACGGGCAAGAGAATCGTAATCTGCCTCTCCGCCGCGCGCGGCGATGGGCGCGGCGTTTTCTTCAACTCGTGTTAACCTGTCGACTGGAGCACCGGACTTCATGTAGACCTCGTCATAACCTTCATGACTATTTTCGGTTCCGAATTGCTGTCGCCATCTACAACCTGGATAACATCGTGGTTTGGCATCAGCGCGGCGAATTACGATTCTCTTGACGTATACCCTCTGCATAGTGTTATACGGGAGCAAGTAGACGTACCTCTAATTCTCCCAAATTCAACGTTGTGATAACGTCCCTTCGAAAAGCCACCACATCAACAAATGTCTCCGGTTTGAGCAGTGACGGAGAATACACATACGTTGAGGTTCTATAACAATAGCGAAATGGGACATCAATCGTAATCATTTTAAAAGGAACTTCTAACTGCAAACAAAAAAAATTCAGGCTACACAATAACAATCTGAATGTAGCCTTTCTTTGCTACTCAACAACTAGAAAACGATTGGGCACGTAGAAAAACTCTGCCTTTCCCAGACTGTCCTTTTCTCTACTACCTTGTTCACAGCCAAATTCTGCTCAATTTTTGTCTCCAAAGTTTACTGCCACCACAAAATTAGGGTCAGAAACTAGAACTGCGAATCCCTACCCGTTTTCCCTTACGAGCAAAAACACCCCGTGTTCAATGTCAACGAAAAGAGGACGAAGGTAGAGAAGCCAACCAAACCGTTTCTGTCTCAGAACAGAGAACAACAAATTACCCCACTCATTAGAAGCTACTGGTTATGTCACCATGCCGAATGAACAATCAGACAGAGGTGCTGTTCTGACCAACCACCCTTCATTTGATTTCGGAAGACACCAACACGAAATCAAACAAACCTGGGAAAATCGCGCAGGAGGAGATCGCGAATTTTCTCCTGCAGTAAAACTGGACACCTCGGTAGCTGTTCTTCGGAATAAGTGCACATCCAACCGAGCGCTTTCGGAGTGAAGTTATCTGAATATAACGCTAGAAAGATGCACGAACAAACTCCGCAGTTTTTACAAACTTTCTTTTAGTGCTTTCAAGACGGATCTCCCAGATATCAACAGTTTCACTGCAGCCATTGTTCTATGTACTTCACAGATAGTTTGATATGCGAGGGAGACGTGACTACACTTTTTATTTCGCTACTCTCCCTCCCTGATACCATACCATCTCATCTTATCTATAAATAATCATCTACCTATACATCTTCTTATTTTGGAATGCTTAATGATAAGCGTAGTCGTGAGTGGTCACCTACCGAGCATAAGGCAACTCTCTTCTTCGGATCGCCACTTCGGCTCCAGAAGAAACCGCAGCATTCGCACCAAAACCCTGACATCGTCATGAAACGACTTGGCGTGTATGTTGCCGTCTTCTTCCACGAAGGTCCGCAGAAATGGATTCTTCAGAAAGCGCTTATTCAACGAAATACACAACGAAAGTTATAGTGTAGTTCGGTGCGGACGGTTAAGCGTGTCAGGCGGGATGAGTTTGGCGCGGTGCCAAACCCGTTCTCCACCAGTTGTTAAAGCGAGCAAATGATATGACTGTATCATATCGTTCGTATTACTCGTTTTCTACCACTTTTTGTCGCATGCGCGCTTCAACAAGAAGGCAGAGAACGGCTTTGACGGCGTGACACACTCATACTGCCTGACACGCCCAACCGTCCGCAGCGAACTAGGAGTGTATTTCTCACCTTATTGCGGAAAAAGCGTGCAATTTCGATAACAGAACCGTTCCGTTTTGTGCGCTTCAACTGTTCAACGCACAGTTCGTCCCAAGAAGGATCGATCGAGGATAACTTGAGCAAGAATGGTGAAGAAGAAAGTTGATCAATCACATCTCGTTTCACATCAGCAACCAATTCTTTTGATAACATCGTAACGGAATTTCCTTAAACTGGTGGAAATAAAAAATGTGGAGGTTAAGCTGGGCGATGGTTGATACCAACCTGGTTTTTCTTGCTCTTCTTCTTTTTCTGTATTGTGCGCTTTCTTTAGCGACATAACCTTTTTCTTATTTTTCTTCTTCTTCTTCCCGATCCGAGCTTTTTTGAAGACATGACTCTTCCCTAAAGCCAACAGCTCTTTACCCGAATCGAAAATCTTCGAGCTTCCAGCAAAACTGTCACGCAGTTTAGTAAACTGGAGTCGATAAAGACATATCGATCAGTCCCTTCCGGGGATGCGCCCTTTACTGTCTTTCCGCTCAATCGCAGAAAGTATTGGGTTCGCCCATAAGTAATGACGTCTTTCCTCACTCAAAATACGGGTATGTGACAAGAGAATCGTAATTCGCCGCGCTGGTGGGCGTCGCGTGCGACGTCGCGCCCGCAAATGACGATGGTTCCAGGTAGTAGATGGCGACAACAGGCAATTCAGAACCGAAAATAGTCATGAATGTCTACGATGACGGGGTCTACATGAAGTCCGGTGCTCCAGTCGACAGGTTAACACGAGTTAAGAAAACGCCGCGCCCATCGCCGCGCGCGGCGAAGCGGCAATCCAGGGTTCTTGCCCGTCTCCCTGGAAATATAGCAATCGTACAACCCAGATAATGATTTGGAGGGGAGGGGCAGCCGATAAAGACTTCGAGGTTCATATCTTCCAAGTTTAGCTGGTACCAATCAGACAGTAATGTAGGTATGGAAGCTTGTTAACCAGAGAGGAAGCCCATTCAAGACTTGATTCATGTGTGCGCACTTGGAGGGAGCTCCATTTACTAGGATACCCTTCAAGAATTCCAACAATGCAAAAGACAGGAAAATTCCTAAGGTCACAGAGGAAGTAAAAAAAGCGCTACGACCTCCCACAAAAATGCTAAGTTATGGCAGAAGTCAGACAGGCGAGACTCGAACTCGCTGTTCAGCTAAACGGACAAGTGCGCTATCCATTACACCACTGGGACCGCTCTTACCCTCACAGCCAATTTGGCTTTTGTCTCGTGGCCTCACGTCGCACAGACATTGAACGTGATGAGCCAGTCAGCCGTTATCGGCTGTGAACTGCGACGCTGAAGTTTAACATGTTCAAATTTTTTAAGAGTGATCCCTGATTTGAACGCCACAGTTCACGCTCTCATTCGCCCTTCCCTCTGTTCAGTATGACCTTCCGTCTCTACAGATTATGGTAATCGCCGATGTAGTCACCCTACACGGTGGGCTTGTGTTAAGCAAATTAAAGTAACTTGTTCTTATCGTGCCGTACGTCAGTCGCCTCTTTTAGGATGAGTATGCAGGGGGCGATGAGAGGACCCATCACCGGTGAAGCACACCATCAGAGTTTACTTCGTCTAAGGTGGCGAGGTACGTAGAAAACACATGATAAACTATCCCTAAAATGTTCCCCCTTGACTAGAGCAAAAAATCGCCCTCAGCCTCTAGGGACACGGGGCGAAGCCTGAGCTGCTTGCAATGCTATTATACTGCATTTCGCTGCGGACGGTTGGGTAGTGTTCAGGTTCCGGACTACTTTGGCGATGTGCCACACCTCGCTTCTTCCGAGCGCGTTGATTGGAAGCAAACAAGTCACAGTTACTAGTATCATATCCGTCCGTATTACTTCGTTTTCCACCACTTTTTTTCGTCATGCGCGTTTCAACCAAGAAGCGCAGAGAATTGCTTTGACGTGGCGGGCGACACACATACGGGCTGACACAGCCCCAACCGTCCGCCAGCGAAGCCAGTAACGTGTATGTGTTATACTCGCCATAATGCGGCAGCCAGCAGCGCCTCTCCTGTTAGCACAACTCCACGTACTTAATCAGCACCGAGAGTAAGCTCAACCAAACCAACATGTAAGCCCCCTACACAGGTTATCAGCAGTTGACGTACACTCCAATGACGGAAGTTTGACTGGAATCCTGCATGCCAACGCCGAAGCAAAACAACTGTGAGGGCCTAAGACTAGCATTGACCCTCAGCAGGAATAGGATGCCAAGGTGGAGTCTATAACGAGAGAAATCAACCACTGGCACTATAATGTGGGAAAGCTGAAGTGAAAGTGAAAAAGGCAAATGGACTTGCAGCCACCTCCACTCGAACTTTCTTTCTCTCGAGCTCAAGATCGGCTTTCTTTCGATCTTGAATTTGAGTTTAAAAGTTCCGCCCTTTGCACATTCTCGCTAGCGATAAGTATCGTGGATTTCTCGGCTGCATCTGAGGGTGAAAAAGTGTTAGCCTTGTCACTTTCTTCTGTGTCGTCATCAAAGTAGGTGTGTTCGGCGTGAATTCCATTCATCATCAAGCTCAAGCCTGAATTCACACTACATCCAACGACCGATGACTTATTTGGAGCAGGCCTCCGTTCACAATTCTGCTCGCTCTGTAGCTCACTAAGGTTCACTCGGCATTCTGCCTGCCTAGAACACCAAAGCAAGCAGACAACAAAATCAGACGGTGGATTGTCTTGACTGGTTCGGCGTCTATGTGAAGCAACGAACTACCCATAAAAAACGAAGATAGAAAAGCAGTGTAACTTTACAGATAACAATACTGACCGAAGATTTATTAAATGAGCTTTCTTTCAAGAAGCTTTCACAGTGACACTGAAAGTATTGAAACGAATGAGCAATGACTAGCAGGCTTAACAGCAGTGTATAGTTACAACCATTGACTAGTAGCAATACTTACAAAACTGTAAGCAAAAACTTTAGGCAAACAAGCGGTGAGCATCCGTGCTGCAGAACAGCTGCATTCACAAACATCACAATAAATAACAAAGCCGACTGGCAACAACGAGAGATTAGGATATGAGCGAGATAATTTTTATGGTACAAAAATGACCTGTTAAACATATACCATGATAGATTCGACAAGAAAAGAGCAACTTACTGCAGAACCATGTGCATAATTCGTCGCCTTGCGACAGACTTTTGATATCATCGGCGAATTGTCATGACTTCCAATTACTTACAAGTTAGAAAACCTCCACGTAAATTCTTTAAAAGGAATGAGGCTAGGAAAACTAGTGAGAATCCCAGAACAACATCAAGCACAGCCCGCAAGGCGCTGAAACGACGAGAGAACACAAATGGCCAAAGAGAAATCGAACTAGAAATTAACCTCTACAACAGGCTAAAGCTCACTGCACAGAAAATACAGGTCTGAATCTTTCAAAATTTCGACCTTTATCTCTCAAAGCTTTCATGTTTGCGTTGATCATTTTGTAGCTCTGCTTGGCTTTCTCGCAAAGCCTGTTTACTTCCTTCTTTTCCTCAACAACGGCCAGCATCGCAGCGAGAAGTTCACTCTGAAAAAAATTCCACTATACAACCTTGAAATGAGCGTACAATTCTAAAAATCCAAATATTTACATTTGCAGTGAGGTTGTCATTCATTCCCTCACCCAGCTGCTTAAAGCGCAGGTTCAAATCTCGATACTTGACCTGAAACAGAATCAATATGAAGAACAATGAGCGGCTAAGAACTAAGATTATAATAGGTAGTCCACCTACTTCGAGTTCTACTTCTCGTTTACTGAGCCGTAGCATTTCCTCTTTGCTCTTCAGAATCTCCCTTTCATGGACTAGAGCAAACCACGAATCCATTGCCCACTCATTTTCGGGATCTAATAGAACACAGTTACAGCGGACTACTACAGCCAAAGTCACTATGCATATCTTAAAGGCATAAGGCACGACATTAAGTACTCGGTTTACAATAGTAGGAAGGACCTGCGGAAAAGCCTTTGTTCTCCACGACTCAGAAAGCATTTCGGACGAGTTTCCCACTGGCATCGTGCCAGTAACCGCTACGGTAGATACGGCTGCATGTATGTACTCATATATCCATGCAGCACCGCAGCCGCTTCATATCAATCCCTTCGCTTCATATTGTACTTCGCAAATGAAGCGATACGAGCATCAGCATCGGTCGGACATTTGTGGGATGGGCAGGCGCGGTGAGAGTCCGGGTCGTATATTGCAGCTTAGCAGGGCGCTATGAGGATACCTTGGAGAATACAGCACGCCAGCACCTGCTTAGGGGCACCAAGTTCCGCTCTGTTAGGCGTATTAATCCTACACGTCGTGGGGATTTATCGTGCTTGTTTTCAATTACAGTACGGTTTCGTTGTGTTAAAGCAAGCACCTGGCAGGTACTTGCCTTTCACACAACGAAAGCGTACTGTAATTGAAAGCAAGCAAGGTTAGAGAATGATTTGCTATCTTTATTACCTTCAATGAGCTTCAGCTCCAATGACTGTCCCATTGCCTTTATCTCCTCCATGCGTATTTCGCATTCCTGCAGACCCCGTTGTATTTCTTGCGCTCCTCGACGGCGTTCGTCATCATGTTGTCTGTAAATCAGCAACAGTGAATGAGGTAAACCTTGAATGGTACATTAAAACGGCTCGTTATCATTACTCTAACCTTCTTATCTTTTCGGCTCTTTTGTGGAAAAGTCGTATATTTCGCTCGTTTACGGATATATGCGCAGCGCCTTCATCTGAAGAACAAAGCCATAAAGAATGTAACGGCAAGTTCGTAACCTTGAAATACCAGTGTCCAGTCGAGGTGAGGGAGCTACCGCCGCAAACGGTACTTCACGACTCTCTACTTCCGTACTAGACGAACCATTGACTGGATGAGGCGATGTGCACGACGAGCTTGTTGATGATGAGGATTGAGCATCTGTAATAAACTAACTTAGGGGGACTAATTCAATAAGATCTTCTTTCCTTGGAAAAACGGAGATCCTGCCTTGGACATCCAAAATCTTCACCAAATCAAACATGACATAAACAAAAAACCGCGACTCGGGAGTAAGGCAGCGTTCAGACTTCGCGACGGCAGCGCTTCAGTCGCGCGTTCGACGCGATCGACGCAGTCGAAAGCATGCGCATCGATCGAGTCGAACGCGCGGCCGAAGCGCTGCCTGTCGCGAAGTCTGAACGCTGCCTAACGCTCCACTTCCGTAATTATCTTGGCAAAACATTCCGTAACTCATTTCGAAGGGGTCTCAGTGAAAGCCGCTATTGTT